CATAAGTCGAAAACAAGGCCAAGGTAAGGGCTCCAATCACTTTTCGATGAGGCAAGAAGTGACTAGTCGGGGAATAGGAGAGAGATTCCAAGGGTCTGTTAAACATTTGGAATGTCGAATATAGCATGCTGAAGCGCAAAATCTCTTGTCACGCAAAGTCACGTCACGTAAAGTCTTCCAAAGATCAGTGAACAGTTGGTAATCCGACCATATCTTATCGGTTTGAAATTTCCAACAATCACATCTCACTGAGATCGCCTGACTTCAAACGGCTGAAACTGCCTGTTATGCGCTAAAACTGTGTTGTTATCCCTTCTAGTGTTGTTGTAGACTTTGTTGTATATTCATGTTGAAAATTAATCTCGTCCAATGTAGTTGAGGTAAAGTGCGGTTCATCTTTTCTAGATCTGTATCGACTAATCACTTGCCTAGAAGGCCTAGAAGTTTTTATGGATATTCCAGGCTTGCATCCGAAACGTCCTAACAAAGTGCTCAATCCTGCACGAAATTCCTTGGAAAATATGTAATAGATAAGAGCGTTGAGAAGTGGGTTAAAATAAGCCACAAAGTTCCCAACTCTATTGGCTATTGTGAGTTTAATCGCCATTACAGGCGATGAAGGTGCCCCAGTGAAGACAAAGTATAAAAACAGGCAATGATACGGGCTCCAAAAGATTACAACGCTCAAGATAAGAGTTATCAGCAACTTTTGTACCCTGCCCCTGGTGTCCTCGTTCATCGCACTTATCTCGCTGATAGCGTTCCGTTTCAGTGCAACAATCATCTTAACATTCACTAAAGTAATGATCACCAAAGGAACCACGTGCATGGCGAGTGCGAGGAAGTTAGCAAAGGTCTTGGTGACTGTTACTTGACACAGGCCTAACGGACCAGATATTACAAGAGCCATGATCCAAATCAACAGCATGACAGAAACTTTGAGCTTCTTCACAACAGCAGCACTTGCAAATTGCGCTCTTAGTGGCGAGCATATCATGTAGCAGCGTTCAACGCTTAACGCTGTAAGACAAAACATTGATACAGCGTAGGCGACGAAGCGTACCGCCATTATAGGTCTGTAAGATATGCAAAATGTTTCTTTAAGAGCCTTTTCGGGCAATAGATGTTCTCGGGCATGTCCGGCAATATTCAGTACAGAAAATAAAAAATCTGCGATGGCCACGTTAAGGAGAAACATATGTACCAGACTATGCATTTTCTTGTTCGAAAGGATCGTTAACACAATCAAAAGATTGCCTAAGAAAGCGAAACAGAGTACGCTGAACTCCACTACTGTGAAAATCGGGTGAAGGATTTCTTGCAAAGAGAGAAGCGAGGTAACATCCTCGGGTGGCGGTATTTGTGGCCCAGAACAGGACAAATTTCCTGGCATGGCTCGGCAAGGTGACCTTGACGCAGTAAAGTTGCTTATCATATTCTCAAGCTCTGTCAAACAATTGGAGTAGTTTTGTCAAACTTTTTCGTGAGTTTGCAAAAAACTGCAACTTGATCTATACCACGAACGGCTAGAGTTGTTGTCAGCTGATAAAGACAAGCCCTTGGAATAAATACAAGAACGTTTTTCGAACACTAACTTAAGGCTGTACAAACAAAGAACATTTTCAATCATGTATAAATATAATTGCTTTGTGAATGTACTTCAATGGGGGCAAAAATCTACATATGAATGTAGTGAAGAACACCGCTTTTATTTTAGAGATGAAGTAAATTCTTATCGAAAAATAGGTTGTTATCTTAGCGACGCTTCATTCATGTCATGATTTTTCTTTTTCGATTCCCTCAGGAAAAGGAAGAGAAGGAAAATACTGACAAAGTATTCTTACTAATCTTCTGTGTTTAAGTAAATGAAAAAATATTTCTTGACAACTTTGTTAACACTTGTCGGTGATTATCAAGCTGGGTATAACTAACAATCAATAACAAATAAAATAACTTTGTGTGAATCTATGATATGCAATGCGAGTGTTTGAAGTCCACTCGCCGGAAATAATCAGTTTACACCGAAGACGTTCTCAGGTGAATTCTTAGAGCTTCGCTCGAAAGCACCGAGATGGAGCCTTTTCAAACAAGTGAAGTTGATCTGAGGCAGATTTCGGCTTAGTCCCTTTTTCAATCAAACGCCTTTCTAATCAAGAAACCAGTGTCGGCAAACCTTGAAAATTCAATTACTACCATAATTTACGGAAGTTATCCTAGTTTTTTATTGAGGGAAATGAAGCGTTTATTGTGAATTGTTGGCTTCGAAGGTAAAGTGGCCTTGTTCGTAAAATTTTTGCTGTTGCCTATACATTGCAAAAATGGGGTTTTTGGTTTTGACAGATTTGTGTAACCTTGTTAGTCCTCAGTTTGTGTCGTTGAATACCCAATTTAAAGAGCCACGAGTAATCAGGCTAACTTGAGTATTTTACCTCACAAAAGGACTTAGATAAACGAATTTTTCATTAAAATTGCTTTATGTAACTGAAATAAATTGAATTGATCACACGTTCTCCTGTTCTTCAATCAGTGTAACACCTTCAAGTACTTTGTACAAAAAACCGACAAAACCACTCAAAAGGCTTTTGAAAACCACGAAGAAACTTGAGTTATTGAATGAAGAAAAAGTGAGAGGACGGAAAATAATTAGCGAAAAAAATCGCTTCTTGGGGGAGGACCAGTGCTGAAAATTCAGGATCAATACTACTGTCTTCTAAGAGCGGGAATAAAAGGTTTAAGACAGTCCGAAAGGCAAAAAAAAAAACCAAAAAAACGCTTTCAAAGAAACAAGCGATCGATTGTATTCAGTCATAAGTTTAAAATTAAGATAAACTTTCCATCTAATAGAGGATGGTGTAGTGGCATTATCAAAATCTTACACTGACTAAAGGCAGGTGCCTCCGACACTGGACAATAAACGATTGTTCACCCACGACAAGGTAAATATTCACCACTTCAACGGACGCCGAGGGGAAAAGGTATACTATATAACACACAAGGATCCATAAAATGGTTAATTTCTGTCAAAGTTTCGAAAACTGGCCAAAAAAACAAACTCTAAATCCGCGATTTTGTCTCTCAAACTGCTCAGAGGTAAATGATACTTGCCACTCACTTCCGAGCTATTCAAGATGCGCGCGCGAAACGCGTTATTCTTTTGTGTAGTACATACTAACACCGGATAACCAGCAATTGCATCGGCATGATTGTTTTTCTTTTAAACCGGAAAATAGTCATGGTCATACGACCACCATTATATTTTTCTTACTAAGTGGGATGCCTGTGGCAGACCACTTAAAAAGGTAGCTTGATCGTGGTCGTAGTCAGATATGGAAATTAGGTATGTGCTTGTTAATCACATGCTTTTGCTTCTAGCTGGAGTAAGTCCTTTCGGCTTGGGTTACTACTTGGAAGGGTGACTGCGCATATTTTCCGGTGTTGTGGACTTATTTTTCTTGTTTTAATTTTTCGATTTTATTCCTTCATTTTAAAGAGTTAGCATCAAATATATTATTTTCCACGTAAAACCAGAGTAACCGTAGAAAACGATATACACATCCACGTTGACGTCTCCAGGCGTCTGGTATCTCCTTATGTTCTCTGGTACAGCCGTTTGTCATCATGGTTTTTTCTACTTTATCAGGTTTAAGTTCGTGGCTGCCAGGTGGTACCTTTACAATACCAACGTAAACACAAACAATAATATCTCGTTCACACAAGCTATGGAATCCATAACACATGATTTCTGAAACAGCTAAACGATTACGAGGTAGACATAAACAAGATAAAAATTAGAGACTGTTTCTGGAAAATCGTTAGGTGCAGCAGTGACGAAGTGAAGGAAAGACGTCGGTAAACTTGTAGTCCTTGTGTGGTGTAGTTAAAGTCACGAATCTTCTTTTAAAGTTCTTGTCAGTCCTTTACGTATTTTCCCATTCGTAAGTGTTTCCTGACTAAGAACGTTATCTCTTATTTCGAACCTAAAGTCCATGCTTAGCGTCAGTTTCCAAGGTTTGAAAACACAGACAAACGAGAAAATAAGCACAAGGCTCTTTTTTCAACATACGGGAAAATTTTGTAGATGTTGTAAAAGCAAAGCAGACGTACAATAGAAGAGCAGCTTTTAAGATTTCGGATTCTTAGTGCTTCCCACTCAGCGAGGTTTTTCGAGTGACTCCCCACGACGTCACAACAAGGTAACGATAGGCTGTCTCCCAAAATCAAAGTGCTCTGTGAGCAAACTCGTGAATTGAAAAGAAAAGGTTGGAAG